AATTATAAAATACGAATAATTTTATGATATGACGTATTATCTATCCCGTATAATTTTCATAACGGAGATTGACGACAATGTCGGGCGATATCGAGTTCAGTAAAAATTTATTGCATGTTAGTTTGGTCTGATAAAATTCAAGAAAGTTAAGATAAATAGAAAAAGAGAGAGAGAGAGAGAGGAAGAGAAAGAGAATTTTGGGATTTGGCAAAGTCTCGTTCTCCTGATAGTGCTGCGTGGCTGCGTTATGCGCACGACGGAGATCGAAAAAGTGGTCGAACGACGTTCCATCGAGCTACAAAGATGAGAAGGGGAAAGAGAAAAAGAGGGGGAGACAGAGAGAGAAAGAGAAAAAGAGAGATAGAGAGAGAGAGAGAGCAGCATTGGAAATTTACGACACCATAAGCACATACCTACATACATACATACATATATAAAATAATACGTATAAATATTTATATATATATATATATATATATATATATATATATATATATATATATACATATTTGTCATGGCATGTAAACGAGTCCAATTTTACTTGTCGCTTTATAACTTATTAAGAAATATATTACGAAAGTATCTTTTTCTTTTTCTAGACGTTCAAAAACATTCGAACTTTTTTTTTCCAAACATTCAGAAACGTATCGAATTAAATCGATAAAAAAAAGAATCTACGTCGATCTCACTACGAAATCACTACGACGCCATTTTTTATTTTTTACCTAAATAAGTTAAATCCCACTCCTTTCCTCATTTACCCCTCTTTTATATATATATATATATATATATATATATACACACACACATATATATATATATATATATATTTCCTAACAAATTTCTCGCGGGAGTCATAAACCTTTTTTCTTTCTTAATTTTATTCAAATTTAACGTTTGATCGTTTTTCTTTGGTTAACAATAAAATTAAGATTTATATCCACATATATTTTATATACGCAATCGATCATAAATTTATCCTTTAATAACTTATATATGCATTTATACATATTTATATATAAAATCAAATAATTATACGATTTCGTAGTCCTATTCGTATAACTGTAGTATATTTATTATTTTATAAACATACCTACGAGTCACGATGACACTCAAGAATGCTACATTAAGAAATGAAGATAAAGTTCATACCTCGGGGGAATTAGTGCGCATATAAACGCAAGTGGAATTTCTTTAAAAAGCCGCACTGTGCTTCTTCCTAACTCTCTTTCTCTCTCTCTCTCTCTCTCTCTCATTCATACACACACACACACACGAACACGATGCTAGTACACTTGCACTGGCCATTCTCCTTAGTTACAAAACTGAATCCTCTCTCTCTCTCTCTCTCTCTCTCTCTCTCTCTCTCTCTCTCTCTCTCTCTCTCTCTCTCTCTCTCTCTCTCTCTCTCTCTCTCTCTCTCCCTGTCTCTCTTCACATGCATATATACTTTCTATCTTTATCTCTTCCATGCGCATTCTCTATCTCTCTCTTACAGATGCTATATATATATATATATATATATATATATATATATATATATATTTCCAATAATTGAGATCCCTCAAAATCAACGAGATAAAAAAAAAACATTCATTGAGCGACCTAATCTTTTAGAAAAAAAATTTCGACTTAAGCGTCACGCGTTAACCAACCAACCCCTCTAAAACTATCGATCGTATATCTATGTAGTAATTTTGAAAAGGAAGAAAAAAAAGGGGGAAAAAAAAAGAAAAAGAAAAAAAAAGGAAGGAAAAAAGAAATCGCACGTGACTCTCTTCCATCTCCTGGCACGATACCAAAAGTTACGGGGAACGCGTTCGTGTTTGTAAGGGGGGATGAGGGGAGAGGAGGGGCAGCAAAAAATGAAAGGGATAAAAAAAAGGAGGGGGAAGAAAAAAGGAAAGAGGGAAGAAATAATATACACGTAAATGTTGTAAATACGTAGAAAGAGAAAATTAATTTATACATATCTCTCTACGTGATTTCAATACGAGTACATAAGACGCGAGACGAGAAAAAATGAGTCAAAAAGAAAAAAAGAAAAAAAAAATAAGAAAAAAAAAAGAAAAGAGAAACAAAAAAATCGCATTGGAAACAGACGAAAGGGCATGTAGTTTTTTTTTTGCAAACTAGATACCTTCTCTCTCTTTCATATCTCTCTCCCTCTCTCTCTCTCTCTTTTATACATCTGTCTCTCTGGATGGTACCCGGACGAGACGACGAGTCGACTAACGAGCTGAAATAAAGTCGAATTGCCGGACGCGTAACTCGTTAATACGGGTCAGTGCAAAAGAGACAGAATCCGTGGCGCTTCTCGTACTACGTCTCGAATGGGATATTTTCATGCTGCGTGGAAACCGGGAATCCATCGTACCAAAGAAATACCATACGTACGTACAGGAGGAAAAAAGAAAAAAAAAAAAAAGAAAAAGAGAAAGAAAGAAAGAAAAAAAGAAAGAATGAAAGAAAGAGAGAAAGAAAGAGAGAAAGAAAGAAA